GGGATGTGGGCGCTGGCTTACCACGGCGAGAAGGTGCGTGCGGTCGTGTGTACGGAGTGCGGGGTCGTTGGTGTTGCAGCTTCTCTGATCGCCTGGTGAAAAAGTGGTGTTAGGTGGAGAGATGCCGTGTAGCGTGTGGCTATTGGCTACGGCGGAGGCCGCGACACTGGCATGGGACAGGAGAGAGCCTTGGGGAGGGTCATGCGATGCGGTGTGGTAGGGGTTGGGTTGGGTGGGCAGATCTGTTGGGGTTATGTGCATATCCGGTTTGCCATGGCGCCATGTGCGTTGCTTAGGAAAGGGCTCTAGAGGGCTCGAAGTGCCTGGCAGGGTGGGGGATGGGCGGGTGGTGGGTGTTGTTTGCGTTTGCGTCCCATGCACCTCCGGAAGTCGTGGAGGTCTGCGCAGTCCTTCCTCTCCGCGCAGTACAACGAGCAACTTTGTTTCATGGCGTTGCGATGGGTGGCTGTTGGCGAAATGAGTCTATAACATATTTAGCTGGAAGGCAAGGCGCGGTCTGAGGCTCACGTATATGCCTCTTTCCACGCGTCTTTGCATGTCTTATGCTTTGACCATGCCACCACAGGTTAAGGCGGCTATACGTCGTGTGCCGAGTGCACAGCAGCGCCTTGTTGCTGCTTACGCGAGCTGTCGCTTTGCGGAGGACCGCAGCAAGATGGGCTTGGAGAGGGAGCAGATGGATGTGGAAGACGATGAACGCGCCGGCTTTCGGAGGAAGCTGGAAGACGTCCCGTCGACTGAGACGCGAGTAATGGCAATGCAAAAACCGAGCTGGCTGGTGTTGGCAAGCTTGCAGCTTTCCGGTTTGCTGAACGCGATGCAGGCGACGAGCGCCGAAAACTGGCATAGCGGGCTGCTGCCGCCTCCTGATGGTTCACCACAACGCGATCAGTTTGCTTAAGATGTGGTATGCTGGATAGGTTGCTGAGACTGGTTTTGGGCTGTTCAGTTGCCGCCATTCGTTTTTCCAAAAGATTTTTTTCACACTGCAAGAATGTAATCATATCGGGGATCCTTATGACCACAAATCTTCAGCTGCTGTCGTTTTGCTAATCTAAGAAGGCACGGCGCACGCCTTCCTCTGGGGTTCCAACCGTTTTGCTCGTCCATGAGCCAACAGATAAAGTCTGCAGTGCCGGTCGCTAATATATAGTATTCTGTCTTAGACAGAGCCCGTGAACGTTGTGCAAGAGCCGCTGGTAAGTTGTAACGGGCTTTAATGGACGCGGTCATATAGCTCTCATCAGATCGCTAGCACCATCCTTTCCGCACTCTCGTTTATATCGCTTAACCTTTGTTTTACAGGAATCTCGCCCCGAAGGTGCTGCAACTGCCGCTCGGTGAGTTTGTTCGGATATTTCCGGCGCCCAATGGACTATTGAGAAGCTCGCTGTTAGTGCGCCAAGCAGGCACCCACCTGCCATCTATAAGTTCTTTCCTAGTTTAGGCATACAGCATCACTCACCAGGTCTCGAAACTTTGCAGCGCAAGCCAAATCTACAATCCTGTAAGAACTCTTGATCAATTTGCATTTGCGCGGCTCGGCATGTCCATGTCCATGCAGCTTCATACCGCTGTCCATAAAACCGAAGCAGCTTTCTCAGCGTTTTGAGGTTGGGCCACGTTTGGGTTGCAGTGACGGCACGTGACTGCAAAGGCGGGCAGCGCGATACCTTGCTTTTCTTACTAACATGGCAGCTTGACGCAACGCATGGCTTGTGTTCAGCTGACGCTTTAAGATGTTTTTTTGGTACAAACCTGCAACTTTACCTGCCTGCCAGATGCGTCGTTATGCTTGTCTCGCGAATAGTCCCAACAAGCGTTTTCCTCTTGGTTGCCTGTGATGTTTGTAGGTCCTACCTTAAAAACATAAGGATGTTCCCCATGTACCCCGGAATGCCCGGCATGCCTGGTAAGTTGAGCTAGTGTCGTGGCCTTGTACATGCAAGCTGTGCACTTTAGAGTTATGGGGCTGCTATGTGTGGCGTGTCAATGTAACGCACATGTTGTATGTAGGTATGCCAATGGCCCCGCCACGCCGTGGCACCCACGGCCCCAAGCCGAAGAAGCCAGGTACGCGGCTGCTGGGGTGGGCTTCCGTCTTCAGCTGCATGCCGTGTATGTCATCACACGTTTGCCTAGACGCGGCTGAATTCCCATATGACTCGCACACCTTTTTAGGTGCTTCAGTGCAAAAGTCTCGGTTGCAGCATTGCTCCCCACATGTACGGTATCGCGCTGATTGGCGAAACAGTGCGCAGCGAGTAGCTAATTGACCTTAAGCCATCGTAAGCATTGGCGAACGGGCACCACTTGGATTGGAGAATATGTTCAGTGTGTCACAGCAGCAGAAACGCTTGGCCTGGGCTTATTTCTTTTTTATCTGAAGATAAACCGCAAACGTATCCAAAGCGAAATTGCGTTGAGCCATTAACTTACCTTCACTTCGTGATCCACAGACTTCGAGGACTTCCAGGACGCCATGGACGCCATGGGCCAGGGCGGCCAGGGTCAGGGCGGCTTCGATCCAACCGGTGGCATGGGCGGCATGGGCGGCATGGGCATGGGTGGCATGGGCATGGGCGGCATGGGCATGGGCGGCTTCTAAGCGATTGACTTGCGCCAGTATCAAATGGCATATCGTTTTCAAGCACGCGTCACGTCAATGCACTGTCGATTGTACTACCTTGAAAGTGTCTACTGGGTCTGTCGACGCTTCCGAGTATGGAGTATGGCTTGTTACTTTAGCCGCAATTTACACAGTTGCTTTTCCACCTTGCTTCATGTTTAGCGTTCTGGTATCAAATGCTAATCCCTTGCTAATATTTTGGCTACTTGCGGCCGACCAGAGTCGATGCCTTCTGAACCCTTAAGGCGTTCTGGGAGTGGCTCCGTTGTCGTACGTTTTGCCCGATGTATTTGTACGTGCTTTGTAGGTATGTGACTTGTTCACCTATTTCAGCCTCATCTTGTTCGGCTGCTGTATGTCCATGATGTGCAACAGCTCGCGGCAGACAGCCCGTGAACTGCACCCAAAGCCTGTTAAGAAAGAAGTCTAGCTAGCTGGCTATGTCGCCGCGTCACGGCACTAGCTGAAATAAGAGGTTCTGTGAAACAAGGATCGCTTCTAATGACGGCCCGCAAGGGCACACGCGTACAGGCACGCATTTTTGGAAAGGTACATTTCCGTATGCGCGGTACCGTGTTTGCGGGGCAATCTGTGTATATGTTTGTGTACCTAATGCTGGGTCCTCGCGAAAGCAAAATGTTCAAGCTCCTTCAACGATGATTTCGCACCTTTTGGCACATGCTACAATAGACCTTGCTGAATCCATAGGCTGCGTGGGCAGTGCAGTGTGATGGTGACGGCGGTACTGTTTATTCTTTTCTTACAGTCTATAACCTTATGGGTCACTGCCTGCCTGGCTTTCGAGATATGCTGAAGTCATATCCCGTCGATCTTTACCTCTTGTAACACTACTGGCCCATTCCACCTATACCTATGGGCAATAAAAAGTACCAACTCAGCTGCTTATTCTGTTGTAAGCAGCAGTCTGCCTGCGCAGCACGCACGCAATCGCAGGGCAGCTTGTGCCAACCTGAACGGCTTGACAGGGAGCATTCCACTGACCAAGTCTCATGTAAGGCACACATGTACATACTTTTCCATCAAGGAAGTGCAGATGCCGGGCGTGGTTGCCATCACTTGCAGTCGGGCAGCTGCTGTGGGTTCTCCTTGTCTACCCTGAAATTATTCAGAATGCACCTGCAGGATGTTGTGGCGGATGTACGCAAGATCGCAGAGTCCCTCACAGCCTGGCCTGCCGTACATGTGGAAGCGTTGGGCCAACGCTTTGACGAATTGAGCAGGTCGGCCTGAGTGATGCCTTGCCAGGAAGTGCCGGCAGCTACACACCTCGTAGACTTAAACGCGACCAACCACTTAGTAGGAGCGCCTCCTGCCGCTCTCCATCGCCGTCATGGCGATTTGAACCTAATATTATGTGTACTGCCGAGCCCAAATCCTCCCGAAAAGGCATATGTCAACAAGCCCAAATCCTCATCATACGTTCTTGGTCCGAGCACTAACTACGCGACATTTCTATAATAGCTTAAACAATCTACATGGAGACGGACGCGGTGCCCACCTGCATCCTCGACACTTTTGTAACAGAAATAGTTTTCCTCAATTGTTCAATGCACCAGCTCACGACCTGTCAATTGCTATCCCCCTTCATCCAGAATAGATACACCTGACTCCACCCTCCACCGCACACGTTTCGCAATCACCTCATAACGTTCGTGTCAACATCGCCCTCAGGCAAGCGGAATGCATGTGTGCGACTCTCACACCGCGTTGTCACGCTAGCAGCCATTCCGGCATGCATAGATCTCAATACATGCCCACATCAGTAAACCCCTGTACTGATATCAGCTGACCTTCAAAAACACTTTCACCCTGGGCGGCTGTGTGGTCCCCGCCAGCAGCCCACTCGCCACTCTGAAGGGTGCGCGGGGAAGCTTACTCTTATCCATCAACACACAAAATAGTAAGTTTTTGCGAGAAGTCTTCGTTACAAAAAGGAAATACCTGCAAGCAATGAAAACAGTCTTCGTGATGGGATGGAGCCGGGTGTGGGCGCACTACGCCGAAGCGACAACTAGGCCTGCAGACCAACCGCTTCAGGGCAGCACCCAAACGTAGCTCTACGCAAACCCGAAGCCAGCACAGTCGCTCGCAGTGACACATAACCACACAAGTCCGTACATCGCACAGTGGCACTCCGATTTCGAAGGAAACCTTAGCTTTCTAGGCGCTTCGCTTAGAAAAAAATTATCAGTAAACGGTTATGTGGGCCCTCCTAGGTCAGCGTTGCCCTTCGGCCAGCTACCATGCGGCATATACGGCGATTAGCACTCCCAGGTAGTGCACCGCGGCGGCCAGCAGCGCCTAGAAAGGCGCACCTAGCAGCAAGACTTCACCAGTCCAGGTCCCCATCGGTGCCGAAACGTTCCAGCTGCGCCATCGCCTCATTGAGGTCTTTCTGCACCTTCTTGCGGCGATAGAATATGGGGCAGTCACGCGAGGTGCACAACACGTCCATATGCAGTGAGCCCTGACAGCGCTGACAGGCGGTCCACAACGCGCCGTACTGCCCCTCCAGCTCTGAAACTGTTTCAAGCGTGCGCGAATAGATTTCAGATTCCTGGAGGGGTTGCGTGACCGAGGGTGTGAAATATTGCGCGGCAGAAACAGGGGACACAGCGTCAGGGACAGCATGGACCCCCAAAAACACAGCCCAACCAAAGCATAGAAGACGTGTAAACGGGGGACGAGTTCTTCACAAGGCATTACAAGAACCCAAAACCTCGATGCCTATTAACCGCTGATTGTGATGTAGAATGTAACTTAGGGGTCCATAGGTGTGCCCACGCGGAACCAACCTGGGGTTTGCAGTGCGAGCAAAGGCTGTCCTTAGAGCCGGACGGCAAGGGTGCCTTGCAAGCCAAGCAGCTCAACGTGACCTGGTACCAGAGGAGGTGCCGCGCGAGGGCGTCAATAAAACAAAATCAAAAACGTACAAGCTCGGTGTGTCGAAACCATCCTAATTTTATCACATCCACATCACAACTAGTGCATACCTTGGCGAACCGCATTATGCCACCGGACGCACTGCTGGGTGTCGACACCGCGATGCAGCGAGTGTGGTCGCCTGAGCAAAGGGAAGGCGAAAGGGAATTCAACTACTTAACACTCCACTCTCTACCCTCCAGGTAAGGGGCTCCAACCCGTACCTTTTCGAGTGACGACGGTGTGCTGGTCACATGCACAGTTGCGTCGCTCAATCGCCTCGACACCTCTGACATTGTTTCAGCTTTCAATCGCTGACACCCCACGCAGCCCCGACTGGCCAGTGCTACGCCCTGCCCCGTCCCGCACTGCCTACCGCACAACAGCTCCTTGGGGTTTCCCATGACGGGCTCAAAGATGCGCAGCAGGGGCTGGCTGAGGTGGTGCTCAAGGTAATGCTGGCAGTCGATGGGCAAGGAGTGCTCCAACGCATAAATGGGGTCCTCCGCCTTCTCCCATGCTTTGGCTCCCTTCGCGGCCTGCGCAGCATTAGGGCAGGAGGCCGTGGCTGAGGCGAGCTGGACACGGCAAAAGCCCACGCTAGTGCGTGAAAGGTGGTACATGGTACGGGGAGCGTGTGCGTAGTTGGTTCGTGTGCCCCGCAAGCTCGACTTGGGGACCTGAGCCAAAGGGGGCCCAAGAAGCCAACTCCTCAAAGCAGCGCACATGAACATGAAGAGTGAGCTTCACTTGACAGCAACGGAGAGGAGCAACGAAGCTAACCCTAAGATGGCAACGATCCGAGTTGACCATACGCGCCATGGCCCGTGTGTAGCATGTTGACATGTATGTAGGCCATGGCGCGTCCAAAGCGTGTAGCAGTGGGTGCGGAGTGCAAAGCAGCAGGCCCAGCAGGACAAGCTAGATAACAGGCATCCAGCGCACCGGGGGCCGCAAAACATCTCTGAACTAGTCTACAGCAACTGACCCTCATGGCCGCTACCACACGAGTAGTGTTGCGCTCCTGGAACGAGTGAACGCATGTCGCTGAGAAGGTGCCAAGGCGTAGTAGTGGATTTGAGGCGGTGAAGTAGGCAGTAACACCTGCCTTGATGATGACGTACGGCACACGGTCACCAACAGCAGGCGCTGTGGCAGCGTCGCGTTTGCGCATCTTCTTGGCCAGCTCCACGTGGGCAATCTTGGTGTCGTACTCATCTCCGTCCTTGGTCAAACCCTAGAGGCAGACGAGGATTTTTCGACAGGAAATTTAGGAACGAGACAAAATAGCCTCATAGCTGCAGCCTACCGTTACGGCCTCTTTCCGTTGTCGACTGTCTTTCACCTACACCTGTGGCTTGCGCGTCAACTCGTTTCCTGTGCATGCCCACACCTCTTCAAAAGATAGACCCAAAACCGCTCCTCCTGCCGACAACTCCTGAATAAGCCTTACCTTGCTGATCACGAGTAACGACAGATCGATTTTGTTCATGAGCAAGTCCGCGATGACCCCTTTGACGTAGGCTTTCGCGGCCGCGATGTCCTTGTCGATGAGGATACGCTCCAGGCAGGTGGTCACCACGTTGCGCACCAGCAAGCAGTTGTCACGACGGACAGTCTCAATACCCTGCGGGGGAAGCCGATATCACGGTGAAAAGCGGAAGTCAGCGGCACTCGGTGCAAGTTGTGAAATGGGCTGGCGATGTTCAAATGGGTCGCGCACAGGGCGCCTGGACGAGGAGGGTGAGTGATGACCAGTTGGGACGTAGGACCACGGCAAACTCGCCCACTGGTTCCTTCAAGGTAGTCCAGTCAAGAGGCAAAAACGTTATTGGGGCGAATACAAGAGGTAACGCTGATAACTGGAAGGGTGTAATACAGCACAGCTCGTCCACTGGGGAGCTACAGAACAGGGCCTGCCGAGCGACGCAGCGGCAGGAATGGCTAACCAAAATTTATGTACCTTACTGTCCATCTTATCGTGCTTTTCCGGTCGCGTCCATAGCAGCCCAGCATAGCGCTTCTTGTTCATTAACAGGTACGGAAAGTATACCTGTGCGACAACCGGAAGCATGACATCAATATAGGGCATGCCTGCAGAGGTGTCCTGTAGGATGCAAGCCAATTGTGTGGCTTCTGTGGCAGAGTAACTATCACGCCGGTGATGGCTTTTGCGCCCCACGCAATGCAGGCTGCATCCAGATACGTGAGGCGAAGACCAAACTGGAAAAGGCCTGGCAAGTTAATTGTAGTCCCCACCTTTTCGAACTCGAGTTTGACCGGCGGCGGGAAGGCCTTGGAAACGAAACCCGCAGCCTCGCGACCAAGCTCCATGGCACGTGTGACGTCGGACACCTGACCAACCGCAACATTATCCACTGATCAATCAGGGGGAAGAAATCGGGCGAAATAGTCATCAACGTGCAGCAGCCTCCCCCATCGGCTGCTAACCAATCGGTAGTTATATGGTAATGGAGTTTCGGTAAGGGGCCTCGGCAATGTGTACTCGAATACTCTGTGGACGCAAAGCATAGGAGTGCACCCACCTTGAAGTTCACCATGACGGAGTCGGTATCACCGTAGATGACCTCGCAGTCCGTCTCGTAGCCGTTGGCCCGCGTGTAATGCTCCTGATGGTTAGGTTAAGACGACACACGACGGCATCAGGGGGCGGGCCTCCGCGGCAATGATCGCTAAACAGGGCAGATCTTGGGACATCTCAGGACGCAGGTGTTGCCAAAAGGTCCCTACCTGCACCAGGGCACGTGTCTTCATAATCATCTCGCGACCGTAGGACGTCACGGAAGCGGAGATGGCCAGGCACGGCATCTTGCCCACCGTCGCGCCCGTGAAGCCGTATACACTGTTTGCCGACACCTGCATACATTGCAGGTATCGGTCCACGGGCTATGGGGTTCCAGAAAGGACGAGTTGCTGCTGCTGGCGGCCCTGAACGGCTGCATGGAAGTTACCTTTCTGCCAACGGCTATCGTACAGCATGGCCGAAACCAGGCTATCGGTAAAAGCCATGTAGCAGCAAACACGTCCTAGGCTGCCAATTTATACTTTGCAGGCACCCGCGACGCAGTGTTCATTCCAGGTGTAGGGGGGACCTGCTCTCTAACCTTCAGCGCAAGCTGTCTGCCATCTAGCACGGCGCGCTTGAAAGGGTCCGTCTCCGCCTTCAAATCATTCTTGGCCCTGCACAAGCGCAAAAAGCCAAAATGGAACACCATGCTTCAGGGCGTATGCAGCAGAACTAAGCTCCCGGCATGAGGACTAAGCAAGTGGGTAGGCGAGCGACATGCCCCATGCACTACATTGTCTCCTAGGCGCGGGGTGCTCCAGTCAGGCTGGAAGTAGTTCCCCTTGGTCTCACCGTTTCCTTGCCGCAAGCAGCTCCTCCAAAATCTCGGGGAGCAGCCCCCGTTGCCGGGTACCCCGCACGAACCAGTCGCCGCAGGGGCTCTGCGCGCGGTCCTCGACTGGAACCGTCGCCAACCTGTCAGCATTAGCGGCGACCACAGCATACATGTCACCACCTGGGTACAACGACCACAGCAGGTCTCGGTTGTTGCCATCTTCAGTCCCAAGTTCATGGGAACATTACTAACAAGACACAGCAGACCCACAGGACAAGCAGGGCGGGCGTAGGCACAGATGTGCTAAGTACTGAGCCTACTAGCCCGGAGCTGAACACACCTGTCGTTGGGCACCAACGTGGTGTAGCACAGGTTGTGGGCCATCATAATAGACGGGTACAGCGACGCGAAATCGAGCGTGGCAACCGGGCCTGCGAGTATTGGGTGGTGGACGTGCATGACAGAGGGGCGTTCCGTATCAAATGTTTCATGCGTGCGAATCGTGTGTTCAGATGGACGCTTAGGAAAGGAAGATTAAGCGCGGAGATCGGGGGCTACGGGTATAATGCCGCATTCTCCATCCGTCTTCCAGGGGTAAGGCAGTGGAAACGGTGATAGAAACAGCCCGACAACCGTGGGCCAGCCCCTTTAGGCAATCGGGGTAACTTTGGTACAGCCCTGGGCGTGCCTGGAAATTACGTCAAGGCACTCGCAGAGCCATGGACAGAGTCCTCACTTACGCTCGTAAAAGCCGATTTTGGGCTCAAGCACCGTGGCTCCCTCATAGCCAACCCCATCGCCGCCGTTGGCGGGACCCGTCACCTGTACAAGGTGCCGCGCAATGTTGCGGCACACGCGCCCGCGTTCTCAGGTTAGTAGAGAGACGTTCCCTGCCGATGGGTTTCTCGAATCCATATCAAGCAACCTTATGTACACAACAAGCAGCCTCAGGACGTGCAAGCAAGACGTGTCGTCACTTCAATTTGGCTTACACCTGAAGGAAGGATAACCTGTCAAACTCAGCGAAATTCATCGCCATGGATTACGCCTACCTTGATGTTAGGGATGACGAAGTCCTTGACCTGCGCCTTCCGCAACAGCTGGCTGAACACCTTGATGGATTGACCGCGGGTGAGCAGGTACGACAGTGGCACTCCTGACAGTGGGCAAACGTCAGGCTCTTCAGCAGTGTGATGAGACCGGCGAACAGCTGGACATTAGGATATACCGTTCTTACAGCCTACCCGGCAAGGGGGCCGAACACTCGGCAGGGAAGCGCATTGCGGAAAAAGGTCGACTGCACAACAGCTAGGGTTCAACCCTCCAGGTAACCGACTAAAGGAAAAGGAATTTGTGCAGATGAGGACGGCTAGGCGGCCGCTGGCCAGGCTCCACATTCTTCGCGATGATGCCTCTTTCCCCCACCCCTGCTCCCCCACCCCGTCTCCCCACCACCTCACCTGTCACCCTGGCCATCTCAATGTAGTTGTAGGTGTACATTAGCTTGTCTAAGAGTCGCTGCGGCAGGTACGCGTCCTGCAAATAGACAGGCAGCCGCACATATGGGGCGATGGACGCCACAAAATCCCTTCAACTTCAACTTCGCGTTGCATAAAAGACAACTTGGCGGCCTTAAACCTGGTGCCTTCCTGCCATGGATCCCGAACACACCCTCTCATACGAGGAGTACGCCACCAGGAAGAAAACGCAATTTCCTTGGCGATGATTTCACATTTCCATATTGCGTTTTCCTGTGCATGAGCCCACCCATATTGTGTTTTGCTGTGCATGAACTTACCTTGAGGCAATAAACGGCCAAGCGACGGCGTGTCTCCTCGTTGCCGGCCTGCAGGTCAGCAATGGCGCTGTGGTGCACGTCCTCCTTTTGCTCGCCTGCGCACATACACACCCACCCACCGATGAAACAACATTAAGGAAGACGGGGGAGGGGCTCAAGTGTGGGACTTAGTTTGGCAAGCCATGGGAATGGCATTACCACTCCCCTACGCCGTGTACACATCTCACCTCGCCATGGCCATTGCCACCCGCTGGACGGGGAGTGGAGTGAACCACGCCGCAAGGAACCCCTCACTCACCTAGGAAATGAGCGGACACGCTGTTGAGTGAGTAGGAGGAAAGCTTGTGGTCACGCTGAATGGCAGTCAGCAGATCGAACTGGACACGTCCTTCAATGGTAATGTCCTTGTACTCGTGAGTGCCGTAGGCCTTGGAGCTGAACTGGCTGTCACGCATGCGGGTATGGCTGTCGAAGCAGGGAACGAATGGGAGGGCCGGATGGCGGTCAGGCATGCAGAGCGACAATAGTCAGGAAAGATGGAAAGTAGCGGGCTGCGAATGTCTCGTAGGAAGTAGCGGGATGCGTCGCAGCACAGCAGGAAGCTGATAAAAGGTGGATGGCGGAATTCCCCCTCGCATCCTACGCCAAGCCTTCTCTGGGTGCTGCCCTTCAGGGTTACGCATGCCGTGTGAAGTGTTCACAGTGCCAAGCCCCATGTGCGTTGATCCGAAAACAAGGAAGACAGCGCAGTGAAGCACCGTGGGTACCGCGTGCAGTGGGGCGTCATCCAACCTGCCCCAGCAGCCGCACGCTCTCACAGCAGCCGGGAGACGGGCGCGCCAACATGAAGCACCCCTCACTCACTCACCTGCCACGCACGCGGCCCCAGACCTGAAACTTTGCGCCAATTTTGAGCGCGTCTGCCCGCTCGTAAAGGTACGGCAGATCGAAGTTCAAGATGTTGTAGCCGATGATGATGTCCGGGTCGGACTCGATGAGCAGGTCTCGCCAGCGAAGCAGCATGTCCTTCTCGCTGGGGGCCAAAGGGTCAACGCGCAGCGTTTGGATGGCGTTGGGCGCAGGTGCCCAGGCATGTGTACGGTCCGGCAAAACCTCAGGCGCCGTTGCATTACGGACAGTCCTTTCCGTTCCGGGTTTGTCAGGCAATCAACATGCAGCCCTTCCTTCTTAGTGTACAATGATACAGTTTTGCGGGAGGCCGGAAGACTTATCATCAAAGGTATTTTCATTTGCGTAATACAGTTTTCAAGAAAAGATCCGCTTCCCGCTCTGTGCTGCCAACCGCCATGCCTTAGTGACATCTCGGAAACCTCTTACAGCCACTTCACACCCGTCCGAGGTCCAACTCACTCATCGAACGACATGACTTCCGCCCCGACGATTGGCGCACAGCTCCCTAGCGTCATCACGTTCTTCACCACTGGGCCCTCAGTGCGGCCGCTGACACTGACCATGCTGGCGATCTGCAAGGCACATCCCGGCAAGGTCAGCACTCTCAGCCCGAACACGCTTCGCAACGACTTGAACGGCTGGCGATATGGCAGGAAGCATACGGTGCGAACGCCGAGCACCTAAAACCGATTGAGGAAGCATTCAAGCTGACAAGAGGCCACAGCTGACCCACGGGTCACGGCCTCACCTGGATAACCGGGTCGATCTTGGCTTCCGGGAAGCAGCCCTTGCGACCGCAGCACTCAATGTCGATTGACATGATGCGCAGCGGCGCGACGCTTGAGTACTCCCCTGGGCAACCGATTAGCCAGGAAAGCAAACCCGTCACAAGGTAGCGTGGTTCCCCGTCCGCCCCTGAACAGCCCCTGAGTTGCATCCCTGCGGCAGCCCTTGAGCATCGCATGCTGGCCGCCTGCTTTAGCACGCCCTAGAGGTCCCACCAGGCACGAGAGAAGCATGGATGCGGCCCGGATGTAGACGCAAGCCTTCCCGTGCAGCAGTATAGCCATTCAACCCTGCTGGATCCCGGGGCCCCATATGCCGCCGCAAGCTGCTCAGCAAGTCCGATCTAGCTTACCCTCCGGCGGGTGCGAGACGAATTTGGTGTAGTGCACGTGCGCCTCGATTTGGCAGTGGGTGAGCTGCTGGTTGCGTTGCAGGAAGTACGTCCCCGCGGGCAGCTCGATCCAATTGCCTCCCACGACCTGCACTGGTAAGCGTAGGATGCAGTTCGTCAGGAAGAGTATACGCGTCGTTACAAAACAGGACCCCATTGCCCTAGGAGCAGATAAGTACGCCCTTGTGCTTGTGAATGTGACAAAGGCCGCAATTCACAACAAGAGATGCATATGCCTGAAAGCCTAAAAAAATTTCAAAGCATGAAACATATCTTGCCGCCGTCAGTTGGCGGGCCAAGTTGTAGAGACCTTTCCCCCCCAGGCCCCCCTGCCGCCGCAGCGCAACAAGCCTTCGCCCACCTTGGTGTCAACCATGAAGCGCAACGTGTACAGCACGTTGCTCTCGAACGTTGTGCACTTGATGTACTCGCCCACACTTTTGATATGTAGGCCCCCTTCAAAAAGGCCTGCAGGGGAAACGGGCAGGAGGGCACCGTCAAGGAGCACTCATTTTACGGCCGTCGGCCTTCTCAGCTACACCCTTACTCTGCTCGCTAAGCATCAGAAGCTGCGAAGTTGTTCAGCAAGAGCCCCCTGGCCCCAATCCATAAGATCTGCTCTTCGCGGCGCGTGACTCCCAAGCTCACCTCGAGCTGGTGCAACCAGGTTTGGCACGCTAACAACGATTTTCAAGAAGCTGCGCTTTGCGTCGGGGCCCTGGTAGTTCCAAATGGACGCCTTTTGGCACAGCTCGATGCGAATCACAGCCGGTCCGCCTTTTGTCTTGCTAAACAGCTCTGCCTACAGATGGGAAGATCGTTGGTCGTGTCGGAAGGGGCCAGTTTATGACGCGACCAGCCGCACGGCTGTGCCCGCCATGCCAAGGGTAACAATGGACCTATCGCACCCACCCCATTCTCCGCTTCAACGGACCCGAATACGCAGCATGGCGTCCTGGATAATATGATGCGATCATGGTCACGATATACAAGCATGCGCACATTGAGGAGTGTTTGCATGCTAAGGATGGAGCGAAAATGCTGGTCGAAATAGTGCGTATGTCCATTCGTTGCATGCACATCCTGTAAATTCCTTGAAACTAGGCCGCTTTGTACGTTTGTACGCTGTTGCCCGCCATGCGGGGCCCCCCTTTTCCCACAAACACGTAGACGCACGTTCAATTGCTCCCCAATCGCCTGCCGGACGTCGCGGTCCCAGCTGGGCGAGGCTTCAATGTAGAAGTATGGCTCAAAGCCGTGGACAAACGCGCAGACGCTGTTTCCGGCAGCGTTGACGCCGTACATGCGGATGACCGGAACCTGTAGGGGTAATTGGGGACAACTGTTGAAAGAGCACACTCATCGAGCTTCGCCCTGTGCGGGTGCATAGGATCATCAAGGTCGCATATACCTTCACATCACCTGGCGCACGGATCCGTGTCAAAGCAGAGCGGACGAAGTGCCAGCTGCCACAACACGACAAAATATAGAAGTAGTTCCTGGATGAGACACACACTGCTCATGTACGGTAAGTGTCACCGGATACCGATCACCATCCTTTCCGAATCGTCATGCTTAGCAGCGATATGCTGTTCACTGCAGCTGAAGCTGTTCTAGCTATGTTGCTCTCGGCACCGAGCGACAAGGCCAGCTCATCTAAGAAACGCGCTTCCATCGCTCCCATGCCCTTCCCCATTTTTTGCTACCTGCTTCACTCCTTCCATGACGACATCCACGCCACGCATGGGCTCCGCAAGGTAATAGTCCACCTCCACTTGTTGGAACACTGCCACAGGGCCGCATGAAAAATAATGCAAGAAGCGTCCAAGTGGCCACGCGAGCGCAAGGCCATACAGCACGCGAAATCGGTCGCGTTGCTTAAGGCAGCATGACCCGCCCACCCCGTCCATCCGTCCCGGGACGGGGCCGGTGGAGGTGCTTACCGATACTCTGCTTTTCCGGGTTGATTTCTCCAGCGGATGGTCGAACCCAGTTACGGCCCGCCTCCCCGAGCTCCACGTCCTCTAAGGGCTCCGGGGGCGCAGCGGGGTCATCCTCGATGAAATCATCATCAGGGTCAACCTGCCCTGGGCCCGTTGCCTGCGCATGTCAACGTTACTGCGGTTGCTTAGAGCGCGCAGGTTGAAGGGATTTAAAGCAGTACCATCCCAAGCGACGGGAGGTGGTTGGCAGGAGAACATGCCATACCACGAAAGGCACGACCTTACCTGGCGTTTTACAGGGGGCCCGCCGACGCCGCCATCTTGGTACACCCCTGACCCATATCGCTTTTGATGGTTTGATTCAGACATGGTTGTCCTAAGGTTGCTAAGCCTAGCCTACACTGCAACCCGGTATCAAGTTGCGAACCCTTAGGCCAAAGCCGGCATCATTTAAGGTTTATTTACTTATAAGTTGGGTTACATTGAATAAATATTGGAGCAGGTTTCAATCCTTCTGTAGGGTAGGCTCTGCGATGCACTGACGTATTGTGTGCTGCGACAGCCTACGGAAGAAAACTAATTTCTCTTAACGTCAATCTGTAGCCTATGCTCCCCAACTTATTAAAAGCAATGTCGGGGAACTTGTTAATACTAGGTAATTTAAATGGTGTACGGGAACGCGCCAAAAACCGATGGCAAACTGCTTCATGAAACATGCATGAGATGTGTCGTTGACTTGTAAGCCTGTTCATAAGCATACTACTCGGAAATTAAGCATCTATCCTTGATAACGTGTACCTTACACCCAGGATACGAAATTCAAGGTACGAGTACCCGTCCCCAGGGTCAGGTATGGTCTTTGGTAGAGTGCTTGCGTTGAGTTGCAATGGGCTTTCTTAGTTGAACACAAGTAGCGGTAAAATACGCCGCCGACCTCAGGCCAGAGATTCGGAGACTTCTAGACTAGTAGCTAGACTAGTTCTATTGGATACCTCCTCCCAAAACCGCGACCTCACGACGCCGTGAGGGCCCGTGCAATCCGTTACGTGGCGCAAAGAGTCGACAAGCCCCTTTTTGCACTAGTTACCCGTGGCGTTGTGGCTCTGCTGCGTCTGTTAGGCCATCCTCACTTTCGCGGACAAACTTCACCTTAACCCATTTACATTGCCTGTGCACTTGCAAAGGAATCCACTTTGCGGGTATGGGGAGGGGCATTAACCGCACCTCACACTCCTTAAGAGGCACGTGGACAGTAAAATTATATGAATACGAGGAACAGACATGTGCTTCAGCATGGTATGAGACGGGTGGTGTAACGAGCAGGAGCTGTTACATTACTCTCATTCGCCTATTCGTTATCGTTCGTCGGTGAAGTTTGGCCTTCGCCATAGGGCCTTCATCTAATCTGGTTCGCTTTGCCGTACTTCCGTCGGTGGCCGGTCGATAAGACGGCTCACCACCCATCACTCGGGGTCTTTCGGTCCCACCACACAAGTGGAATGCTTCTTAAATAGGCTTGATCATTACATTGGTATCGAGACTTTCGATCCTAGCCTAATTCGCTTCTGCCGTCGTATCTCATGTCTGCTGCTGACCCTGTCGCGGCCATTGCCGACCGCGACAATGCTGTTGTTCAAGTCATTAATCGCGCTTCTTCTTTGTCGCATACGGAGATGGCACCTGTTAGGTTTTCTTGTTAGTTGTTAAGTCGTTAACTTTACTCGTGGACGATCATTTGAGATATGGATAATGTACGACCTTCCGGCGCCGCCTAGGCTCTGGATAACTATTTAAGTCGTTGTTGTTGTTAATTTGTTAGGTCATCAATGGTACATCTTGTAGTTTGTTAGCTGGCTTAAGTCGCTCGGCCCTCTTTGTAATCATCGTGGCATCCCAACGAGAAACGGAGCCTATGCCCTTTCAGTTGGTATCGATCTAGACGATCCGGCCTATACGCTTATACGTACCCGCGTTTCGACAAGTTGCTGGAGATGTCTCCGGATTCTCTTAAAAAGCAGCAACTGACCCTGGCCCAGGGTTGGACTTTACAGAAAATAGCAATCCTAAATGAACTCCAGCGATGCGGGCTGCCAATCCAATCAGAGGACGTCGCGGTTGCTTTCATCGCGGCGCTGGAACCCCGTTGTCTTCGCTTGGCTTTACACTCGGCTGTAGTTATGCAGGGTGGATTCTTTCCGAGTTTCGAGTGGCTTGAGGATTGGTTCCTCAAGAACTGTGGCGAGAATCCTGGGGGGGCTAAGTTTTGTGAACAGTTGGGCACATCTGTTGGCGTTAGCACGTCCTGTGTGCAAGACTGCCTCGTTCCCAGTTGCGAGCCTCCGCTTCCGGCTCGTTCGTCTCGTTCGCCTGTCGCTGCTTCGCTATCGCCTACCGCGTTGGGTACGGCTTCGTTCGGTACTGGCAAGTTTGCTTCGTCTAAGCAGGCTTCACCGTTTGTGCAACTCGCGCGTCAGGATGCTGCTGTCTTTGCTGCTCTTACTGCTGAGCCTCGTCGATCTTGTAATGCAAAGACTAATTCGAGCGTTCCGATTGCTTCTGCACTTATTCCATCGACTCGCATACTTCGCACTTCCGAATTCGAGCAGCTTCAGCGTTTGACTGGTCGGCATTTTACTTGGGATTCGTTTGCCCCTTCGCGTCGATCAGCTATGTGCCCCAAATTCAGTTCGACTCCGAACAGCTTTCTGTCTTGCAGCTGTGCCGGACATCACGTTTTCGTTCATCCGCCTCCCGCTCGCGCTAGGGAGTATCTGTCGCACTACTTGAACTGCAAAAGTATCGCACCGCAATCAACGTCAGGTGGATTTCTGTTGCCTAAGTGGGTCGCTGATAAGTGTCGTTCTTCGTTGTCCGGTATGACTCAGCTTCGTACGTACCATGCTGGTTATCACCTGTGTGATGTTGTGGCTGCGATAGGCAGGCGTCGTTCTGCAGGTTTAACCGGACCTGTCGAGTTCTGGTACGACCCTCCGGTATCTGCTTCTGATGCTGACGTCGCTCCCTTACCTTTCTCCGTTTCGGAAGGTTTGACTATGCAATTTCGAGGTAAAGTGTGTCAGTCCGACGCTTCCATCCTCATCGATAGCGGAAGCATGCCTTCAGCCCTTTTAAGTGCAGGTTTTGCTCGTCGCGTCGGTTTGGCGGTTCAACCGTCGGACAACGCACATCCCGCTCTCACCGTCACTTTGGGTGATGGTCGGACTACGACTTCGGTAGGGTTTGCTGAGGTACCTATTCGCTTGCAGGGTTACAAAGCTAGGTTGCAGTGTGCCGTGCTTGATCTCGCTCCTGGTTATGACTTGGTGCAGAGGGATGCAAAGATTAGGGATTGGGTTCGGGTACCGGTCAGGCAGGAATTAGGATTTGGAATGAGGGGCAGGATTAGGATACAAAGTTGAGGCCAGGTTTAGGATGAGGACCCGAGTGTAGGATTAGGATTGGGACCCGGCCCCAGGATTAGGATTGCGACCCGGCCCCAGGATTAGGATTGGGACCCGGCCCCAGGATTAGGATAAATACCTATATCCAGGATTACGATTAGTACACTGGTATTGGATTAAGATTAGGGCACCGCAATAATTGGCAATTAGGATACTGCTATGTAAGAGGACTATCAAATCCAGCTACCGTTCAGACTGGGTTAGAAAGTTGCTATGCCATGTCATACTAAGTGATGTCGCGTGTGATGTGTGCGCTCATGCTCCTGATCACGGAAGCCATACGCTCCAGGAGCTCCAGCCATGCTTCTGACAGGCGTCTGCTGATCAGTAAAATTGCGATAAAACAATCTGCAAAAATTGACGAGGACGGTCTAGACACGAAGACGTATGGATGGCGTCCGCGCCTCCTCCGGAACCAACTGCACGACATTGAGGGACGCTTCCAAAGGCAGTCGCGTGGTATGCGTCCTTATAAAATATTAGTAGGTTAAATGTCGGAAACTTTATGGATAATTTTTCTACTATGCGCACGTGCTAACATTACTGGCTCAACATCATAGGTCGACATCGTGTTACGAGGCATGTCCTGCTTATTGGGTTGTACTTCATAGCTGCGAAAGCCCCTGGTATTTATGGCATTGAAGGTCTCTGCTTCGCTGCCAGTGTGGATGGTGGTCCATTGGATCACCTCTCTCAGCTACTCCTTCCAAGGACGTGTTTGCTCTGCCTGCTTGTTGTTAATTCTCGGGCTTCGGGCTTTTTATGAATGAGCCTATTGTTATGCGCACATGTTAACATCTTTTGGCTCAATATCATACGTAGACATCGTTTCACGAGGCATGTCCTGCTTGTTGGGTTGTGCTTCATAGCTGGGTAAGCCCCTGGTATTTATGGCATGGAAGATCTCCGG